GGAGGGGAAAAACGAGGACCTAATGTCAGGGGTTTAAGTGGAGAGAAAATGTTTTGAGAATGATATACAAATGCGCTTTACACAATTGATGTGTGTATGGATTGGGATACCAGTTGTATGAGCTCCTAATAAAATGTTTTAAAAAAAAAAATTAAGAAACTTAGTTTTGTCCATTAGCATAGCAGAGAACACCCTCCAAATTGGGATTACAGCCACAGGCATAGAGTTCAGAAGTGTGAGACACCAAATAAGGAATGACGGTCCAAGGGGCCGCACTGACTGACGACACTCCACACTCCAAGTAACTCTTTGGAAAGGGTACTGGAAACACTGAAGTTCATTGCTGGGTATCTGAAGTTATAGTTTTTACCTTTACTTCTGGCAGTTTTGAGGGTTAAAGAACCAACCACATGCTCATAGTTAAAATTTCCTCTGAAAAACCATCACAGATTACCCTAATGTCTTCTAATCATCTATGGAGGGCTCCAAAAAATTCATGGAAAATCTGATCTCTTAATTCCATTTCTCTAAGAACGTTTTGACTCCCACTGGTAGCGCTACAGAAGAAAAATTTCATTTAGGTCTATCAGTCTTTTCCTGTCCTTTCAACCTGAAAACTTAAGCATTCTTCATCCTTGGCATTCTGATATTTTGCAAATGCTTCCAGCCACTAGCCCCCCAGTCCCTGGAGTGAAGGCAGTCCTGACACAAGGTCACCCGGGAAACAAGGAGAGGCCACCATTCCACAACAGTGACGTGCACCCTGAGGTGAGACACCTGTGTTTTTGGAGGGACACTTGCTTAGCCCAGCTGCCCCAGCAATGCTAGGGGCCACCGACCCTCTACTCCCACCACCGCTCCCTCACACAGGGGTCCCCCCCTTTTCTTCAAATACTTCACGCACCTATCTGGGGAGCTGATTCTTCCTTCTCTGGTCCTCTTGCTTGTATGCAGCTGGACCGCTTCAGGTCACCTCCTCTTCTGCACCACCCTCTTTCTACTCAAGCCCTGGCTCTTCCTCCTCCTCCTCTCTACATACAAGTGGTTTTTATATTGAGGTCTTTTCTTCCCATAAACTTCCCCACTTCCAAGGAATTAGCCACTCTCGCCAGACGTGTCTTGTTCCAACTTACTTCCTAAACTTGGGTCTTCTAGTACCACCTAAAATCAAAAACGGGCTCAGCAAAAAAAGAGGAAGATGCTTAAAATGGACTGAACCTTGGCTGCCACAATGAGTTCACGCATGACAATGACCACGGGTGGCGCAGGGCCAGGCAGGGTCATTTTACTGTAGGCACATCCGACTCAACAGACCCAACAACAACAAAACCAAACACTGGCTCCCGAACCCCGGAACCACACCCGCTCCCCACCACCCAGGAAGTGAAGCCAGCGCTGCACCCTTCCTGGATACACCCGTCTCTTGACCACACAAGGACCCGCTGAGCTCTGCAGAAGAAAGATCCCGCGGTCTGCTGCAACGATGATGTACAAACGCTGCAAAGGGTCCCTATGAGTTGGAATTGCCTCAATGGCAGTGGGCTTGGGGGAGGCACAGTGGTGAGGGACTTGGCTGCTTCCAGGAGATGGGCCATTCAAACCCACCAGCTGCTCTCCAGGAGGGAAAGAGAACAGAGGGTCCACTGTCCTGTAGAGTCTGAGTCAGCAGGGACCCGATGGCAGTAGGTGAAAGCAGACTCCCTGCTTTCTTACGGGGCTCTCGGGTTCCCACCCCAGGCCCACAGAGCACCTGGAGGCCAACCAACATCGAACATTCCCTCCTGTTCCATTTGTATCCTTGGAATTCTGTTCTGAGTACACAGAATCAGGAGCCAGAACACAGGAAATTAGATGAGTGTAGCATAGGACTTGGCTTAATCTGTTCTCAGTGATCACACACCTCAGTTCAAGGGGGGTGGAGACACGACCAACCTAACATCTGATTTGCAAACCTATTTGTCGTCACAGGCAGAGTGGGGCAGGGCTGCACCCTGTTCTGCAGGGAAGAACGTACACCCCGCCCCACCCTCGCCAACCGGTTCACCAGACCACACAGCCTGGCCAGCCTTGGGGTCCCACGCACCAGGCTGAAAGTGGAAGCTATAAGCACCTTCCTCTGTCTGCCAGAGGGGTCCAGCACCGAAGGCAGTCACTGCAGTCCCCTTCCCCTTCAAGATGCACCCAGAGGCCACAAGCAAGAGTCCACACGGAAATGGCTCATTTATTCAGAAGTCTTGCCAGTTAAGGAAGCAAATAAAGAATGTCTGCTTCAGCTTATTGTGTGCCATGACACCTCTCCTGGGATTAGCACAGTTACCACCCAAAATAAACCAACCAGGCTTTTGTTTTCAGACATCTCCCTAGAGAGGGTCTACAAACCACTCTGTGACGCAGGCCACTGGCCCCCGGCCCAGAGCCCTCCCTCCTCCCACCACTACTAGAGCGTTCTTACCTGGCAAATTCTGCCAGCTGTTTGGGGTCCGAGAGGTCGATGCCGGGAATCCCTCCAGGCGGGAGCTTCTTTCCCGTCATGTACTCCGAGTAGTCAGGAGGGGAGTTCTCCCCAATGATCTGCTCCTCAACCACAGTCTCATGGTCAAGATCTTTTTTTTCATCTGAAATGGGCAGGAGATGGATTGTCTTAGCCGAGGAGCAACGCATACATGGGCAGAGGCACTTTCAAATCGCGCCAGACGGCTTGCCCAAGCAGCTGCGAACGAGTGACTGGTAGCTTCTACCTCAACTTCCTCACCCCCTTCTTCCCTGAAGGTCACCACAAACGTCCAAGTCAAACCCAGGGACCTTTATGCCAGTCGTTCCCTTCCCCCTGCCCCCCCAACTCTACTGGGCTGGCTTCAGCGGCTTTTCTGTCCCCACCTCCATTCCTGAGTTCTGCTTCTTATCCACCGCATGTTTCCTGTTAGCTCTCAACTCAACCCTAATGAAGTTTTACAGCTTTCGTCCCTTAGCTAGCCTCTAGTCCACAACCTGCACCTCCCCCCCCTGCGCCCCCCCCCCCTTTACATAGGCACTTTCCTCTCGCTGCAGTTTTTAGCAAAAGGCACCATGTTGTGTCTCCCTAGACTTTAAGGCCGAGAGGGCTTTGTTCAGAATCTGCACCTGGCTGGCCTCTGTGAAGAATGCAGGGAGAAGCCCCTGGTGGAGGTGTTGCTCAGGTCTGTAACACGATGCAGCCAATCACCCTCAGCAAGGACCGCTCACCTCCTCTCCCTCCAGCCTGCCATTTCTGCGGCCCGTGTGTTGTGCTATGATGGTGCTGGAAGCGATGCCACTCGATTTTAAAACCAGCGGGAGCACAAGTGGTGGTGCTTTCAGCAGAACATCCAGGCTAAGACAGACTAGGAAGGACCCAGTGAGCGTATCCCATATATTAAAAAGGTCAACACCTTGGATTAGCATCAGACACAACAGTGCCATGAAATGAGCCCCTCAAACTCATCACTCAAAATACAATTGGGGAAGCGCAGCCTCTTTACAGTAGCGTACACACACTCACTTTAAATGCAGCGACCCCAGATGACAGAGTAGAACTGCTCCTTAGGGTTTCTGAGGCTGTAATTGAGCAGCGAGTTTTAGCTTTTTCTCCTCCAGACTGGCTGCTGAGTTTGAACTGTCAACCTTGGAGTCAGCAGCCCAATGAGCATCCAGAGCTGACCTTCAGAATGATGTGGATGAAGCAAAGCTTTCAAAGACTGGCAACAAAGAGGGGGAGTTGGAAAAGATGGTGGTGGTGATATCACAGATCCCAGAGAACACAGGAGAGAATTCTGAAACAATGACTTCTTGGTTGCAAGGAATCTGTCTTGAAGTACAGCCAGAATGCTCCCTCCAGGCAAGGATGGCGAGACTTTACCTCACATACTTCTGACATGTTACCAGGAGAGAGCGGGGACAAGTCCCTGAAGGAAGGTCAAGGAAAAAGTGGAAGTCGCCCCCAGCAAGATGGACTGACAGACACCGTGACTGAAACAATGGGCTCAAGTGTAATGAGGATGGCCAGGATTGGGCAGCTTCATCTTATACACAGGGTGGTCTGTGTGAGCCAGGGCCCTCTCCTCACAGCACTTACAGCTGGCCGAAGTGAGGACCCACACCATTTCACAGAAGATGCCCAGGCATGGGTGGTGGGTCGTGGTGGTGGTGATGATGATGATGATGATGATGATGATGATGATGATGATGTGTGTGTGTGTGTGTGTGTGTAAGTGACTTGCTGTAAATGGTAGACTTGAACAAGGTCTTGGTGCTCAACGATTTGGAACAAAAAAGGGTATCAGAAATAAAATGTCCAAGGTGATTCATTCAGAGAAGCACACCTATTCAAAGACAGATGAAGAAGCCTAACTAAGAGCAGCCGGGCATGTTGACCAAAAGGACACAATCAGTCATCAGACACCTTCTCAGGGCTGTTTGTCCCCGTGCCCTCCCCTCACCCTCCAATCTAGACTTCTGTGACACCGAAACCTCCAAGTGCTCTACAAACACCAGGGAACCGCTGTTTTCCCACCGACACTTTATGTACCGGATGCAAGGATGCCAGCAAAGCTGAGTCACTGGTGCTCTGAGCAAGCGGCTGCTGGGGCAGGAGGCAGGCTGAGTTCACACCACCAGAAAGTCCTCGCAGGTGAACTGTTTTCCTCCATCTAGTTCAACAGGCACTCATTGTGAATTCTAGGCCCCAGGAGTCACTGCAGGCCCAAATCAAACTCTGTGCTCTCATGGCACTTTCATTCTGAAGAGAGGAGCTACACAAGACTCAGCGACAGCATTTGAAGAAGTCAAGAGCCCAGAGGGCAGTCAAGGGTGATGGAAGATTAGAACACCAAACACCGAAGGAAGCGGTCCGTTGAGCAGGTGGCACAAAGGTTACGTGCCCGCCTACTACTTAAAAAGCTTGATGGTTCGCCAGCAGGTCCATGGGAGAAAGACCCAGCCGTTGGCCCTCTTAAAGATTTCAGCTGGGGAATGCTTAGGGGCGTTTCTATTCTGGCACATGGGGTCCCGATGACAGCACACCACCATACACGCCAACAGAGATCTCGGGGTTTCTACCAGCGCCTACAAACAACCACCTGTTATCCCCATAATTGTAAACCCACTGTATTTGGATGAAGTCAAATTTGTTTGCTTGTCTAAGGCTGGGAATTTTGCATAGCAGAACCGAACCACTGCAACAATGACAGCAAGAGCCCACAGAACCTGAAATCTCAACTCTGGCCCTCTACAGCATAGTTGCCAACCACTGAGCTGTGTGATGGGATTTTACTTAAGAGAAAACAGGATAAAACTCTAGTGGATATATTTTTAAAATCTGAAACAAGAAACAATTGCTGACAGTGAGATTAAGGAACAATACGGCTTGCTACCAAATAAGGCAGCATTTTCAAGTAGGTTAAGGATTTATTTAGCAGGAGAAAGAAGTACGGCTAAGGGAAAAAGATGGGGCTTTCTACTCCCTTAAAGAATTAGTTTCTGAAACCTACAGGGTAGTTCTACCCTGTCCTGTAGGGTCCTTGGGCATTCGAAGTGACTCACGGCAGCGAGGGGCAGATTAGCCTGAGAATGGGGGAAGTGGGGCAACAGAGATGAAGTCTAAATTTCCCAATGGCTTAACTGTGCCTGATGGAAAAGGGAGGAAGGAGGATTGGCAGATACCTAGAGTTTTCTGTGAAAATGACAAGCCAAGCAATGTAGACCGCAAGGAGGCAGCTGGGAGATAAGGTTTGTAAGGTAGAGAAAGGGCCCCCAAACACAAACTCGAGAAATTTCAGTATTTAGAGAAAGAAGTTGTCTTTGGGGAGGGGACTGAGCTGTAAAACCACAACCCGGAATATCCTAACATGTATGTGCATTTCCTATTAACAGTTGGTCATTCCAAACTCACTGCTATTGAGTCGATTCCAACGCTATGGGACCCTACGGGCGTTGGGGCAGAACTGTCTCTATGGGTTCTAAGTTTTATGGGTGTATAGCCCATAGTCTTTATAGGCTCATCTTTCTCCTGGGGAGGAGCAGTGAGTAGTTTTGAACTGATGACCTTGAAGTTAGCGGCCCAACAAGTAACCACATCACCAGGGCTCCTTGAATCTACAGTGTGTTCTACCTGGAAGTTGATTTGGAGAACTGCTGAAGGGCCAGGGCACAGGTATGAAGCAGGCATCAAGACAATGCAAGTGAAGAGACCCCCATTTTGGAAGAAGATGGCAGAGAAGTGACAGCAGCAGCTGATGCCTCGCCAGAAGAAACCACAAACCAGGACACCTGACTGCAGGGCTTTCACCAGGTACAGGGCATCCCACCCTGGACCATTCTGCCTCCTTTTTGGAAAGGGACAAACTTCAGAAGTTTTTACCAAACACAATAGAAATGTATGATTCTCTGGAACAGAAATAAGGAGCCCCAGGGATGCAGTGGATACTAACTGAAAGGCTGGTGGTTCAAATCTACCCTCTGCTGTTGAATCTATTCTAACTCATTGTGAACCCACCCAGGGTTTCCATGGCTAGACTTTGCAGAAGCACACAACCTCATCTTTTTCCTGTGGAGCAACTCGTTGGCTTGAACCACAGACCTTGCAGTCCAATGGTTATCAGAGAGTGAAGATGACAGCCAAGGAAACCCTATGGGGCAGTTCTACTCAGTTACACGACCACAGGCACACATCAACAAGCTGAAAGCATCAAGTTGACTAACAACAAAGAAACATCCTCTCACAACCGTGCTCAGCGGTGTGCAGCCCATTCACTGCATGAACTGTCTCCACTGCGTACCCAAAGACAAGCCATTAAGAAGTTCGTAATAAGACACACAGTGGAAGCTGCAGCCGTCAGAGACATTTCCGAACTGTCTTTGACATATATGTGCTTCCCAAGCGTCACATGAAGCTACATGATTGTGTGAGTTGTGCCATTCACAGCAAGGTGGTTAGGAACTGGTCATTTTAAGCCGGGAAAGACTGAACTCCCTCCTCCCCCTGCCCCATCTCAATTTAGACCTGCTCCACAACCCCCTCCAAAGCCCATGTAAAGATTAGAAGCCGAAGGAAAACAAACCTGAAAGGAAAAATGGAAATTGTTCTTAAAAAAAAGAAAACAATTCATTACATTAGAGACCAAATGTATGCATGACTTTCCCCCCATATTTAAAAAAGGTAGCCGCACAAATGAAAGGCTTTATCCATTTGTTTCATTTGTGTGCTATCATAAGCCTTGGGGAGAAGCATACTTGTATACAAGGTACAATAAGGACCCCAGAAGTCACGATTCTCACAAGCCTTTCCTTTCAGAATTATTCAGAGCAGGTGTTACTGACCAACCCACTCCCCCATCGCGCTGCTTGGTCTCCACCAATAGGAGCCCTGCATGTAGGGAGGCTCGGGCTTGAAGGAAGGAGCATACTCACCCCTCTCGCTGGGGTTTCCTTGAGGGCAGGACTTAAGTAACCCTTATGCATCGAATTATGTCAGCTCCGCACAAGATGCACGGAAAAGTCTAACAGTGCTCACAGGTATTCTATAGTAGGGAGTTTATAACGCCTGCAGCTAGAATCCTCGCAGAAAGTTACTTCCTGTATGAATACAAGGTCCAGAGTAGGGTGGTTTAAAATCAATTACACCAGAGACAGAAAAGGCCCATTAGAAACAGAAGCCAGCAGACAGAGGCAGGAATCAGAG